CCTGCCGCCTCACTTTGGCGAAAAAAAAAGCGGAAGCCTCTAAGAATGGCTTGCCAAGGTCATCAAGCCAGTTCGTGGAAGAGCTAGAATAAGGACAGGTATCCTAACAGCCAGACGGGGTGCCTTGACTTCTCTGGGTCGTTAGTCTCTTCTACGGTGAACTACGAGTTGATTCCAACGACTGAGTGTACAGACTTCCTGCAGATACATCACTGACTCGGAGGCCGACGGGTGACCTAGGGTCCTGGCTGTTCATCTCCAGGGGACCTTAGTCAGGAACTCAATGTCTTCATAAGCAAATGGGTGAATGCCTAACCTCCGAGTTCCAGGGAGGATAAATAAACTAACTTAGTGGATGGGCACGCAGACCCACAGCCAGTGCTAGAACCCTTGCCCTCCCCCAATTACTCACCACACCTCCGGGGGGGCCGCTGGGCCCAGGGGGACCTGCAGGTCCGGGAGCCCCCTGTTCAGAGACAGGAGTTCAGAAAAGTCAGTGTAACCATCATGAATAGTCGTGCCCAGTCAGCCTCCAAACCCACCCGTCCCCTGCTTATCCTGGCTGGTGGAGCAGCCGCTCACCTCGCCTGGCACCTGCTCTCCCTGCTGAGTCAGCACTGAGAGCCCAGTCAGGGCTTGAACAAGGGGGAGACAGGAGGGCAGACGGGCTCAGGAAGCTCCTCACAGGCTAGACAAGAGTTAGGGGTCAGGAGCGTGTGGAGGCTGGGGGCAGGCAGATGGCAGAGGGCAGAGTGCACGGCCCTCACCACAGATGAGGACCTTTGGAGAAGTGTGGTCTTTACCCTCAGTGCAACGGGAAAGAAAACACCAACAAGGAAACAGGCTGTTCAGGGTGAGATGTGGGAAATCTCTCTGCTGTGATGCAGGTCAGTGTAGGCCAAGAGCAAGCCTTGGGGGGAGAGACGGCTGGGGCTGGGCAACAACTGACCACGAGCTGGACAGGACGGGTGTTCCTAGAGGAGCCGTGATGAGAAAGGCCCAGGGCTTGGCGACCAGCCGCTGGTGGAAGGAGGGTGTCCATCGGAACAGACCTTGGCAAGACCGTCTTCAGGGGGACTGCCCTGAAGAGGCAGTGCTCTGCAGAGAGGGCACCCAGGACAGGATGGAGTGTGTGTGTGTGTGTGTGTGCATGTATGTGCATGTGTGTGGGTGCATGTGTATGTATCTGCATGTAGCCACGCACGTGTGCATGTGTATGTGTGTGCATGTGTATGTATGTGTGTGCGCGTGTATCTACGCATGTGTGTATGTGTGTGTGTGTGTGTGTGTGCTCATGCATGTGTGTATGGGCTCTGGCTTGAGAGTTGGGAATGCTTCCTAGAGAAAACTAGTTTAAACTGGAACTTGAAGGCTGGGCCAGGATTCTGTGAGACATGAGAGCACACTCCGGGTGGGCCACCACCACGGAGCTGGGAAAGCAGTGACTCTGGCAGGGCTGGAGGCTGTGCTGTTTCTTCCAGCTGCCGTTCCCCACTGTCATGGAGTTTGTGTGTCTTCGGCGTCAGAAATCATGAAGTATATGCCTAGCCTCCTTGCCTACACTCTGCTGCCGTTCCCTTCCAGGCTGACTCAGTCCGGGTCTGTCTTCACTAGCAGAGAGCAGCTGCCAAACCCCTGCTCTGTCATGGCCCGCTAGTCTGCCATGGCCAACCCCACTCCCAGCCAGCCTGCCTATGTAGAAAAGTCTCCACTGGCCCCTCTGGCCTGCAGTCCCAGCAGCAGAATGGACACCAGATGCTGCAGTGGCTCCTCCCCTACCACTGCCACCACGGCTAGACCGGCAGGAAGGCAGCCCCGTCCCATCTCCCACCAGCTCACGAATAAGCCTGGGCTCTGTGGTGCAGTACCCGAAAATGGGGCAGGGACGAGTGCCAGCTGCTGAACTCGAACACCCTGGGTTCTGCCCTGAGATGAGGTGAGCTAGGAGCAGCAGCAGGAGAGCTTGAAAGTGTGTGCGTGAAGGGGTGTGTGTGTGTGTATGTGTGCACATGCATGCACCATAGCATGTATGCACCTGGGCTTTCAGTATGTATGTGGCTATACACATGGGCACGCTTCTCAAGCAACAAACCCATGAGTAGGTGTGCATGTGTGTGTGTGCACTTTCCTTACTGTGTCTCTGTGTTTGGGTGTGTGTGTATCACAGTATGCGTGTGCTTGGGTTTTTAGAATGCATGTGTGGCTGTGCACATGGGCACACTTCTCAAGTAACAAACTCCCCTGTGAGTAGAGGGGTGTGTGTGTGTGTGTGTGCACACTTTCCTGACTGATCTGTGGGTTTGTGTGTGTGCGTACATCATAGCATGTATGTGCTGGGATTTTAGAATGTATGCATATGGTTGTGCAAGCGGGCACGTTTCTAGAGTGACAAACTCCCGTGAGGAAGCAGATGTGTGTGTGTCATTGCACACATACAGAAGGAGATTCTTTTGAGGGTTGGGCACGTGAACAAAGCCCTGAAGCGCCAGGGATGTTGAGGAGGCCTGGACGTCTCCCTTGCTGTCTGCTACTCAGAGGCCTCAGCCCTGGACTCAGGTGCAGGTAGGTCTCCTTGGCCACTTCTCACTGAGCCAGCCCAGAACTAAGGAGCAGCTGCTCCACCAGGCCTCCCTTTTCAGGTCCCCTATCAGTGGCGAGGTGTAGACTCACGGGGTTTCCAGCAGCTCCTGGAGCCCCGTGTGAGCCTTCTCGTCCTTGGGCGCCCTGTGTGGAAATAGAAGGGGAAGGGAAGAGACTGCAGGCAATGCAGCCCTTAGCCCCTCAGTCAGGAAGTCTCAGGGACACCTTGTCATCAGTGGATCCAAACCGAAGGGACAGCAAGTGGGTCTACAGGGTGCAGCAGCCCTGCCTGGGGCCTCGCTGGAGCTCTGCATGTCACTGTACCCTCAACACCGCCCCAGGATGCAGGTGTCAGCATTGACCCTCTATAAATGCGACTGAGGGCCATGGACATGGCACCAGCCAGTGGCAGTGGGGTTTGAGCACAACCATTGTTCTGACAGACTCCTTGCACAAGGCTCCCCAGAGACCCCGTCCAAGTGCCCAAGAAAGATTCCAGGGAAGGAGCCCAAACCAAGAAAAATATCAAAGTCGAAATGCTAGTTGCATCAGATAGCATTGCAACCAGAGCTTCTAGTCAATGCCGGGGAGCAGGAACGGACTCCCTGCATCTCAACGTCCTTCGGGGGCCAGGACTGCCTAGCTCACTCCTCTCCCTCCCTCCCTCTGGACTATGCTGAGCCCAGAGCTGGCCAAAGCCAATCCTTTAGTATAAGAGTAGGGGCAGTCGGAGATCCAGAGGCAGCAACCGACCCTGTTGACTGCATTTGGGGCATTAATTATATATATATATAATATTTTTCACTCATTTATTTATTTTACATTCTAGGATTCCAGGGCCCCTGGGAAGCTGACAGGTCCCTGTAGTTCTCTGTGGCAATGCCACCTGGTGGGCACTCCCAAAACGTCAGGCAGAGAGGACAAAGTGCTGGCCTGGAAGGGCCGCAGGTGGATTTCAAGTAGGGGTGCATCTTGAGTCTCAGAGCCCAGAAGGGGAAGAGATGATTTTCTTACCTGTGGTCCGACAGGCCCCGGAGGCCCTAGTTCTCCCGGACGGCCTTGTGGCCCCTGCAAGGAGACAGTCCATCAGAGAAGCACCCCCTCACTAGTCGGGAGCTGAGGGGACAGGCACGTGCAGGATGGGTGTCATTTGAGATCCGCAGATGGGATGTCCCCAGAGTCCTGAGCAGCATTCAGTTCCACAGGGCTCCCGTGGGTGGCCTGTCCGGTTCTGATCCAGAGCTGGTCAGCCCTTGTCAGCCCTTGGACACCTGGTGTCCTGTTACCAGCTGCAGGGGTATGGGGCACTGGGCACTCACCGGTTCCCCGGGCACCCCTGCATCTCCCTTCTCTCCTTTCGGCCCCTGTTCTACCTGTTGGTCAGAAGCAAAGGTTAGAGCAAACTTAGTGTGAAGCCACACAGGCCACCTGCCACCCTGGGGGTGCCGAGGACCCCAGCCAGGCCGTTCTCCCTGGGGGTACGGAGGACCCCAGCCAGGCTGTTCTCCCCAGGGGTGCTGAGGACCCCAGCAGGCCGCTCTCCCCGGGGGTGCCGAGGACCCCAGCAGGCCGCTCTCCCCGGGGATGCCGAGGACCCAAGTAGGCTGCCCTCTTGGCCCAGCTCTAACGTGCAACAAGGCTGCTCTCTTGGCCCAGCTCTAACGTGCCACTACCCCAGACTCGGCTGATGCTGACTCCTCTCAGATCTAAGGTCAGGAGTCACTTTTTCAGGGATGCGAACCCCAAGTGGGGCCCACCTGCCTGTTCCAGACCCCCCAAGTCCAGTGCCTTTCTCCTCCGAGGCTCCTGTGACCTCCGCAGTGTTACCCTGAGGGGCACCATTTGCTTCAGGTCCCCTCCAATCCGAGCCTAGCATGTGCTCAGTCACTGATGAACACGGGTGGACAGAATTCTGAGAGGAGGAGGGTATTTTGCACGTCCCTTCTGGATGGACAGGTGCTCTGCTAAGGGACCCAGCCTTGCGGGACAGACCACGGCTGGGCCCTAAATCTGGACAGCCAGGACGGTGTGTGCAACTGTTTCTGGAGAAGAGGTGAGCATGGGCTGGAGAGGCAGCCCCCACTCCCACCTCCACAAACCTCAGTGGCCGCCAGCCATCCCCAGGAGCCTCCTCAGTCCAGAATGAGGGAGCAACAGGTGCTGGGCTTCCCCCCATCTCCTCTTGCCCTTCACATTCTCTAAATTACGTGACAAACTTTAATGCCCATCTGAATGTCCTCTTCCCACCCACTCCTGCACTGCAGGGACTCAAAGGCCACTGGTTTGAGGGGAGCAGCACTCGGGCATCTCAAATAACTCTGTCCTCAAAACCATCAGCAATTTTCTTGCGCACTGAAAAATTGACTCAAAGAGAGGTTTGGCCTCTGCCCTCAGCTTCTAGGAGGTGACTTCTAATTCTAGAAAGTTCTACCTGACCCTGATGCCAGCTCCCTGCGGGGCACTTTTCCCATCCATTGCCAGGACAAGATCTGGAAGTCCAGATGCCTGATAGTGGCCACCACAGGGACTGAGAGCTGAGAGCTCACCCTGTTCACACTGCGATGCCACCCACCAATCAGACCCAGGAGCACCAGGCCTGCACCACAGGGCTGCCTCTACTTACCGGCACTCTTGGGTGTGGTGTGAACAGGGACGTCTGAAAACAAACACCGGAATTAGGAAGATGGGCTCCGATAGAGCCTGCTATTTTATTTTCAAAGCCCACCTCTGAGATTTACTAAATAAAAGGATATAGCCCTAAGATTTCTAATTATCCTTACTTTTGACAATGAGGTTGTCTCCAATTTTTCATTATTATACGTGATACAACATACATTTTTATACATGTTTTTATAAAACGCACACGTGTAAATATTTCTCTAGGATAGATGCCTGCACATGGACTACCTCAGCCGAAGCAGACACTTCTGATGCACGGTTACTGGTTACTGCCTGCAGCCTCAGACAGGTAGCTGTATGCACGCCCACCAGAAGGGGGTGGCTGTGGCCATTTCCCTGCGCATTTGCTAACATTGGATGTTATCAATCGGAATCAAAAACGGAAGGTGACAAACTCTTCCACAGTCCTTACGAGATGAATCTAATTTCGATGAGGCATGTGTGTGGGGAGGAGAAGGAACAATGAAACTGCAAGTTCAATCTCCACGTGTTCAGGCTCTTCTCTTCCTGCTTTGGTTACTAACTGTCCCATCCCTGATATACTTGCCCCGTCAGGGCCAGTATGTGCAGCAATGTGCAACTTCCCTAAAATCAGCTCATCAAAACAGAGTCCCAAAGCTAAATATTGAAAATTTTTCAAAATTTAAATGAATAAAAAATGCCCCTTTTGCAGGATTCTTGAAAATAAGAAAAATAATAATAGCATTTGAAAAAAATTATTGAGTAATCAGGTGCTAGGAATTCTGTTAAGTACTTCACATTATTTCAGCTAATTTTCACTACAAACATACAAGATAGCTGGATATAATATTTTCTTTCACATATGAGAAAACAGAGTCTTTCAGAAATTAAATACCACATTTAAGACCACAATGTTGGTGATAACAAGACTGGAAGTCAGGCCTTTCGGCTTCCAAAGTTCATCTTCTTAATGATACCCAATCCCAGCTCACAATGCCTGCCCTCACAGCTGCTGAGGCTGGAAGAATGAATCCTAGTCAGGGGTCACAGTAGTGTAGTCCCACCCTGCACACGCTGCTTCTTGCCTCTGGACGTCAGTTTCTCTATATAATAGGCCGATATTTACTTTCAATATCTAGCATATGTTCTGATAAGTAGTAACTGTGATGCTGCTGAATAAACTAAATCAATAAGAACAGGATGGTTTTTTTATAGAAGCATGTTTAATTTTGAATTTAACACCTAGGAATAGGCCCAGGTACAACTTCTAGTATATGTCACGGGAGAGGCTCCCATGCCTTATCCAGAGGAGGTAAAGGGATTAAAACAGAGTAACTTACAGTTCCAGGTAACCCAGGAGGGCCTGCTGGACCAGATGCACCCTACATAAAGAGTGGAAAAATAAATTAGCATAACTATCCCTGCCAACACTGCTTATTCAGAGATAATAATACCACTTTACACCCACAGCAAGATCACCCATCCTGTACCTACCTTAAAAGACAGATACATTTGTACATATGTTCCAAATTATAAACTATTGTTTAAGTATGAAAATAGTATGTTTCAGAATTATTAACACTGAGGTGTGTGGCTATAGATCATTTTTATCACTGTATACCCTCCCATTGTGTATATGTGAATAAAGTTACGCATTATCCATGTTTTTGCCAATGACATTTTTTTCTCCGTTTGTAATCATAACTAGCATTTGATTTGCTGGAGCAAACATTCCCACACTCATGTCTTCAAGCTCCATGACCACATTTGAAGTCCCTTAGAGGCACCTGTAGTCCTGCCCCACCCCCTCTGAGGGAGAGGCTGTCCTCAGGGACCTGAGGAGGATGGTATTCCATTCCTATAAACAACCCAAGCTTGGGAATTGAACTGCCCGAGCTTCAAACCTAACTCTACCATTTTATAAATTATTTGTTCGGTTTGCTTTGTCTTTGCAAATAATAATACACACACCTCATAGTACCAGATAAGAAATGAATAAGATGAGAATTACTGTATTGTGACATTTGCTCTGAGGAGATGAGGTCATCAGCTCTTCCATGAAGGAATGACAGTAGAAGTAGACACAGTCTGCAGAGCTGTCTTTCCTGCTGTGCCACATGGAGCCAGAGAACAGGCATCTATGCCTGGGTCTGTTCCTGCAGCCAAGGGCTAGGTCTACTGCAGGCTTTCCAAATATGATTATTAGATGGCAAAATGAATAAGTAAAGCTGGCTTGGACAGGGACAGGCACTCTCTTTTTTCATTTCATTTTCTTTTATAAAATCACATTATTATTTGGCTTACAAAATGGATATTTCAACAGGTGAACATTTATCCCTACTACAGTTAATAAAACTAAAAAATATCTTCAACAGATAATACCACATTTCTTTGTGTCATTAATGCTTTGCCTCCCTATTTTTCTTCTAAATGTCCTTCCTCAGACCCTCCCCTTTCACACACTCTATATCTGGTATTTACATCTATATATCGTGTTTCTATATCCTTTAGTTAATTAGTTTCAGTTATAGAGTGCAGACACTCGGTATATATTAAGTGGGGACATACAATGCCTCTCCTTCATAGACTGGCTTGCTTCACTCAGCAGTAAATCTAGGGACAGGCCACTCTTAATAAACAAAATTCCAATAATAAAAGTTGTATTATGCTTTCTACCATTATTCTTATTGTTGCAAGGAAGTTCAGAATGAATAACCTCCAACTATGTCAAATTAGTGTATTGATTATTTCCAACTGAAATCACTCTGAAGAATTAGCTACAGAAAAGATTATCTGACTAGTCTTTTCCTACATACAAAAAAACCACAGAGTCCTCTGGCACAAGTGTCTTTTCATATAAGGGTAAGAAAATAGTCTTTATCACCAGAAGATGGGCAATTGGTGCTGTGATGGACCTGAATAGACAAACGCCTCTAAATAACCTACATCTCCCATCAGCTTTAATATATATTCCCCCATGTATGAGAGGGTCTTCAAAAATTTCATGAAAAATGTATATTATAAAAATAATTTATAGATTTCAATATCATTTTGTACCAAAATAAACTTGTGTAAGCTTATTATAACATGTCCGAACAAGATCTGGTTTGAGGATAAGATATCATCAGTTTGAAAACAGCCACTGTCAGAGTAACATGAATCCTGCTAAAATTGGAACAAGAAAAAGTGCCAAATTATGGTTATGATTGGGTGGAAGAATGGAAAAATCATTGACATTTTACAAAACATTTATGAGAACAATGCCCCAAAGAAATGAGAAGCTCAAAAATGCATGATTTGTTTTAAAAGCAACAAGATGATGTGGAAGGTGATACCTGCAATGGCAGACCATCCACAATAACTTCATGAGAGTAAAATTAATCTTGTCCCCTGATGGAAGAGGACCAACAGTTCATAGAAGAAACAACAGCCAACACTATAGACATCTCAAATGTTCAGCATATTTAATTCTGACTGAAAAACCAAAGTTAAGCAAACTTTCTACTCCATAGGTACTAAACTATAGTACCCGGATCAGCTGCAGATAAGAACAGAGCTTCCAATGGAAGTTTTAAACAAGTGGGATAAAGATTCTGAAGAATCTCCTTGCAGAATTGTAACAGGAAATGAAACTTGGCTCTACCACTGGGACCCTGAAGACAAAGCATAATCAAAGCAATTGCTACCAAGACGTAGGAGTGGCCAGTCAAGGCAAAAACAGATCAGTCAAGAGTAAAATTGTGACAGCAACTGAATTATTCAGGGCATTTTTCTTATTGACTTTCTGTAGGGCCAGAGAATGATAATATCTTGTTATTAGCAGAGTGTTTTGAGAAAGTTAACTGAAACTTTTGCAGAAGAATATTCAGGAAAGCTTCAGCACTGAGTCCTTCTCTGCCACAATGATCCTATTCACCATCCTAGTCAAACAAGGGCATTTTATGATAATTGCAATGGGGAATCATTAGGAATTCACCTTACAGTCCTGACTTGCCTCCTCTGACTTCTCTGTTTCCTAATATTTTTTAAAATATGTTTTTAAAGTACTCATTCGGGAGCCAGCAGATGGTGTAATGGTTAAGATACTGGACCCCCAAATGGCCAACTGTGGTTCAAGTCTCAGACCCGGAGACTTGAAACTCACTCCAGGTGCATGCGTGTGTGTGTGCCCAAAATCCCAAGAGAAGAATGGAGGAGAAGGGATTGCAGCGTGGCCATCCTTCTCAGGGAGTGATTTCTTTCTATCTCTGTCTCTCTGGTAAGTGCATGTGCCCTACAGCAAAAATATCTCTCAGAAAAAAGTACTCATTCTTCTTCAATTAAAAAAAAATATGTGTGTATACACACACACCACACACACACACATTTATATATATATATATAAACAACCCTGGATTGACATTGACATGGTTAAATACCCAGGCCCCTCAGGTCTTTAGGGATGGAGTAAATGTTTGGTTTCATTGCTTAAAAACTTGTCTTGAACTTGATGGAGCTTATGTTGAGAAACATCATTTATATTAAAAATTTTTCAGTCCATTTTTCCATGAACTTTTGAAGTCCCATGTATGTCTTAGTGACTTACCTAGAATTTATGACCCTAGTCTAGAGATCTTGCTGTCCTGCGATTCCTTCACGTTTGCTGCTCTTTGTCTAAAGGTGTAAACGCACCCAGCTTTGGCTACTTCTTCAGTCTTTACACTCGTGGGGATCCCCCCAGACATGTAAAGTGAATAAAATTTGTATGCTTTTCTCTTGTCAACCTGTCTGCAGTGCTAGATTCAGCTTGAAAAGTTAAAATCTAAGAGGAGTCAAGGTGATTAGTCCTCCCCTACAACTGTATACCATTTAATTCCAGGTCATGGTTTAAGTATTTTACATGCATGGACTGATGCAGAAATGTCCATAAAGTATGTATTTATTCTCACTTCAAAACGAAAAGATGAAGAAACTGAGGCAGAAAAACAGCAACTAGTCTACGCAAAGTCACACAATCAGCAAATGTCTACGCCTTATTTTAAACTCAGACTCGATCCTCTTAACTACTGTGGTACACATTGCAACGATGAAAGTCCCGGGACCTTCGGAAAGAGAAGCACTCCCAGTGCTATTGTGCAAATCTGATTTTACCTAAGTCTCTTCCTGACACTGAAGTCAGGCTTTGGGACCAACCTCAATCTAAAATTGGTCTCTTCAACAGGAAGTCAAATTTATCAAAGTTGAGCATTTCTTAGTCTAATGAATGGATGTGTGTGATGAGAGTCAGAGGAGTGACATTCTCTAACCCAAGGAAACAGAGCCTGCCTCTCAGAAACAGCTTCCTCTTCCTCAGAGCTGGGGGCAGTGAGAGGAGGAGCAGGATAGGCAGACCCAGAGAGGATCTGCTTTGAGAAAGGAGCTTGTCTGAGAATGCTCGGTGGAGTGACCTGGACAGGCCTGGGTGGAAATCCCAGTTTCTCCCTGAGGGTTCAACTCTCAGTAGCCCTTGCCTAGAAAGAGCATTGCACACCCATCTCCATGCTTGCAGTAGGGCATGTGGGCCTGGAGGGGAAACCGAGGCAGGGCGTGTGGGCACAGTCGAAAGGGCGATGTCGTTGTAGTGTCCTCTTTTGGACATTTTTTTTTACCATAATCATCTATTATTACATATTTCTCTGGAGAAAAATAAAGGCAGGCCAAAGTCTTTGGAAGCATGAATGAGATTCTACCATGGCCCCATTGATTCTGCTGAAATAATCAAAGGGGCTTTATGGTCTTGCTAAGCCTTCGCATTCTGGAAATGAGTTTCTCAAATAGAAATTGCATTTCTGAAAAGGCCGTGAAAGCAGCAGGCCTGAATGCCTAACGGACTACAAGCCTTCCTATTGCAGGCGGCCTATTTATAGACTACAGGTCTGTCTAGAGTAAAGCCCCAGGCCTTCAGCCCAGAGTGGGGGGGGGAGGGGAGGCCCCGCCTGGAGCCCAGAAGTCACAGGGCTGGGAGAGCTGGAAATAGGGGAGCAAGTGCAGGCTCGGGAGAGGGAGGCGACCTTCGCAAACACTGTCCAGGAGGAGGGCAGATGCAGGGTCCTTAGTGGTAGGGGTGGCCGCATCCCTCAGGCCTCCCCGGATCAGACCTTGTGCTGTGAGGGGCCAGAAGTCTGATTCTGCTGAGCTGGCGGGGCTCAGATCTTGACCCTACCACACTCTATTCATGCAGCCCTGGGGATGCAATTTAGTTGTCTGAGCCTCAGTTTCCCCATCTATGAAGGGAAAAGTGGTTGGTAATAGTGACCCACCCCAGAGTTGGCTGGTTCATGTACTGCAGTTCATCGGCCAAAGGGCTCCCTTGTCAAGCAAGTCTCTTAAACTCCCAGAATGCTTTCTGCTCTCGCAGACATCTGTGGGCCTTTGACTGCTTGATGCTGGTCCGTGCCAGTCCCTCTCGCTTACTTGGATTCTGAGTGTGTGTGTGGGTGGGTGGGTGGGGTGGGGAGAGCATTCTAAGAAGGGGTTGGGGCCATAGACCAGAGTCTTTAGAAGGCAAAAATGGTGGGGGATATCTCATCTCAAACCACACAGCCCAGATTAGGGTTCACTGTTTTCAGTCTCCTTTTTGCACGGGAATATTACAGAGGGGCCGAGTGTGGTTAGAGAGAAATTCTGCAGAGGGCAGCAATTTACCCCCTTCTGGTGTGTGCCCTCTTCCACTAGCCACTATTGCTAAAGGGGCCTGGCCTCCTGGAGCTTGCCTGCAGTGCAGTCAGGGCCAGACACCCTGGGTGGGCGGGCAGCTCCATCCCTCCTTCTGCAGCTCTGAGCATGCAGCAGATCTGTTGGGGCTTTATTTCTTTTCATCTGCAGGATGTGCTTGCAGATGAAAAGGTTGTTTTCTGTTTGTCTCTCCACGACCAACCTTGCACCTTTCTCTCCCCTGCCAGTCATCCAGGAGGCACATTCTGGAAATGAGTTTCTCAAATAGAAATTGCATTTCTGAAAAGGCCGTGAAAGCAGCAGGCCTGAATGCCTAACGGACGACAAGCCTTCCTATTGCAGGCGGCCTATTTATAGACTACAGGTCTGTCTAGAGTAAAGCCCCAGGCCTTCAGCCCAGAGTGGGGGGGGGAGGGGAGGCCCCGCCTGGAGCCCAGAAGTCACAGGGCTGGGAGAGCTGGAAATAGGGGAGCAAGTGCAGGCTCGGGAGAGGGAGGCGACCTTCGCAAACACTGTCCAGGAGGAGGGCAGATGCAGGGTCCTTAGTGGTAGGGGTGGCCGCATTCCTCAGGCCTCCCCGGATCAGACCTTGTGCTGTGAGGGGCCAGAAGTCTGATTCTGCTGAGCTGGCGGGGCTCAGATCTTGACCCTACCACACTCTATTCATGCAGCCCTGGGGATGCAATTTAGTTGTCTGAGCCTCAGTTTCCCCATCTATGAAGGGAAAAGTGGTTGGTAATAGTGACCCACCCCAGAGTTGGCTGGTTCATGTACTGCAGTTCATCGGCCAAAGGGCTCCCTTGTCAAGCAAGTCTCTTAAACTCCCAGAATGCTTTCTGCTCTCGCAGACATCTGTGGGCCTTTGACTGCTTGATGCTGGTCCGTGCCAGTCCCTCTCGCTTACTTGGATTCTGAGTGTGTGTGTGGGTGGGTGGGTGGGGTGGGGAGAGCATTCTAAGGAGGGGTTGGGGCCATAGACCAGAGTCTTTAGAAGGCAAAAATGGTGGGGGATATCTCATCTCAAACCACACAGCCCAGATTAGGGTTCACTGTTTTCAGTCTCCTTTTTGCACGGGAATATTACAGAGGGGCCGAGTGTGGTTAGAGAGAAATTCTGCAGAGGGCAGCAATTTACCCCCTTCTGGTGTGTGCCCTCTTCCACTAGCCACTATTGCTAAAGGGGCCTGGCCTCCTGGAGCTTGCCTGCAGTGCAGTCAGGGCCAGACACCCTGGGTGGGCGGGCAGCTCCATCCCTCCTTCTGCAGCTCTGAGCACGCAGCAGATCTGTTGGGGCTTTATTTCTTTTCATCTGCAGGATGTGCTTGCAGATGAAAAGGTTGTTTTCTGTTTGTCTCTCCACGACCAACCTTGCACCTTTCTCTACCCTGCCAGTCATCCAGGAGGCAACCTCAGTGTCTCATCAACCTTGCCTTCCAAGGGCCAGAGGAAGGACAGGAGGAGATGCTCAAAGTGCCAGGCCATGGGACACCACCAGATCATGTGACAGTGAAAGGTCAGAGGATTATGCCAGGCCACGGGCTGGCTGTGCCCATTTCCAACTCAAGGGAAAGTCCTCCTGAGGATGTCAGCTTTCTTCCACAGCCACAAGCCCCTCTGGACCCAGGACACTCCCTCTCCTCTTCCTGTTTCTCGCTGCTTCCAGCCCTGTAGTGCATCGCTACCTCTCATCGGTTTCCCTGAGCACCGCCCTGACGTTACAGTCAGTCCTCTCACTAGCTCCTCTTCAGTTGCCCATGCTGAGTGCCCTGCTCCTGATGGACACAGTGTCTGTCTGAAGGGTGCTGGGAAGCAGTGCTGATGAAGCCTCTGTGCATTGCAGAGCACACAGTGGGCGAGGCCCAGAGAATGCATTCTTCCCTCTCATCCTGGCACTGAGGCTGGCTCCAAAGCTGGCTCTAGAGTCAGCCACACAAGCAGAGGCAGAATGGGTTCGGGTATGATGTAGGGGAAAGGATACGGGAGTCATTGCACGTGGGGTTTGCAGCCCTCAACAAGCTTAGATCAATGTCCATGCTTGCCAGTGCTGGTCTAGCTCTCAGATCAAACGTAGCACCTGGCCTGCCGCAGGTGCTCCAATCTCTCCAGCACACGGGCATGAAAGGACAGATGGATGGCTAGGTGCCATCTCTGACACCATAACCTTCTTTTCAAGTTTACGACAAGTGCAAACAAGAAATCTGGAGGTCTATGTGTAACACTGTTTCTTCAAAAAGGTGCTTTGGAGTCAGATCTATAAATACATTCCGCAGAAATGTACAGGTACAGAACATTCTGCAGGAAAACGCCTACTTTAGGGAAAAAAAGCAACTATTCATTGATAATGACAATTGGGCAAAGGTAAGTAGCCCCCACCTTTTCACCTCGGTCACCTTTCTGTCCTGGAAGTCCCAGTTCACCTTTTTCTCCCTATAGTAAAAGGTAAGATTAGAAAAACATCAGAGTCCAAACTGAGTTCAATTCCTGCCTCATCCACACACGAGTAGTATGATCCTGCAGGACTGCACATACATATACACCCCCTCTCTGACCTGCCCGTGTCTCATGAGGAAAATGGACGCAATGAAGCCCACCTCGGAGGTGTGAGCTGGCAAGCCCCGGATTCCCGCCTCTGCCGCTGGCAGACAGTGCCACCCACCCCGTCATTTCCAGCAATCTCATCTGAAGACGTACTTCCCTTTCTAGGGATGCCTCGCAGTCACGGGTCTTCAGTTCTAGCTCATGAAATCAAGTAGTCTAATCTCCTCCCATTTATCTCTGATCAACTCTTTGAAATCATCACCTCCCCACCCAGAAGGGACTAAGACTCCAGGGACTGCTTTCCATAGTCACAGGTGGGGTAGCCTTGGTGGGAAGAAGCTGTCACTTACCTGGTCTCCCTTCTCCCCCCTCATGCCTGGGAATCCTGGAGCACCTGGGAGGCCTGCTTCTCCCTATGGGAACAGAATAGTGGCTCTGTTCATTGGGCACCGATGGGAAGGCTCTCCTACAGGCCAGCCCAGGTACCGTGATGGGCCACGGGCTCTAGTTCCCGCTCTCCAGCCCCATAGAGATCCGTTGGCTTAGTGGAAATCATGTGGAAAGCAGAGCGGTTGGGAAAGGAAAGGGGAGTTCTAGAGAATGTGTTCACTGGGGCATCTCACGCTCTCATCCATGTCCATAGTCACAACAGCACAATGCCACCTCCTTACCATCTTTCCTGACACTCCCCAGATTGTCCCACCCAGTTGTCCCCACGGACATATGTACACCAACACGTATTACACCCGATCATTGTTTTCAGCGTGCTGTTTATCTTGGCTCATGGTTATATCCTGGTGCCCAACGTAGTGACTGATCCATAGCACACACTGATAGTTACGGAGTACGTGAGTACATGAATTAATGTAGTGAGCTCTCAGAAAACATAATTCCTCTTGGCATGTGAACAGCTAATATAAGACCTAGAATGTGATAATGACTTAATGAATTAAATGAAGAATAAAATGAATGAATGAAGGCATGCATAAACATACCTTCTCTCCAGGTCGGCCTGCCAGGCCCTGCTCCCCGACTTCACCCTGAAGATAGAGTAACAGACACTCCATTATCTTCCAGCCACATTTACAGAGATGGCTGTCACTCCCTATCAACCCCACCCATTCATGGCACCTACCAGTCACAACCAGTAATCCTCAATTATGCAGCATAATCACAGGCCTAAGAGTCATGGGCCGTGAAAACCAGAGTTTAGCATTTCTCATTCTATACTTCCTCATGTTGTCTTTTGCTTCCCCCCACACTTTACACAGGTTGAATCCACTTATCTTGAACATAAACAATTATAACTCAAAATGACAAGGAGCCAACATCTATGACTTTCAGGTCCACCCCAGCTCTGAGGTTACAGGTTAGGGACACCTAGAATCCAGGCTGGGTCCATAATGAAAGGGAAGAGCATGCCCATGTCGATTAGGTCCCATGGTTGATGTCAGTATTTTTACATAAATACAAGCAGTCCCCCAAACAGCTTCCTTCTCTTTCCCCTTGGGGTTTTACAACAAAGAAAAGTCATAGGTGAATTTTGTTTAATAGCTAAGCTCCCACTAGAAAGGATGCCTCACAAAGGCATGTAGTTGACAAGTTTTGTCCTCAGCCATCAGCTTACTGTTATGGTCAAATGTGTCCTGTCCAAAGCCGTATGTTGAAAAACTATCTACAATATGGGAGTGTTAAGATGGGGCCATGGGGAGTCGATGAGGTCACAAGGCAAAGCCTTCATGAATGGATTAGCGCCCTTACAAAAAAGGCTTGAGGGAGCCATGCTGCCTTTCTACCACATGGGGATGCAGCAACGAAATGCCAACTATGAAGCTAAGCGTCCTCACCAGAAACTAAACCTGCTGGCACCTTGGGACTTCCCAGCCTCCAGAACTGTAAGCAATGCATTTCTAGTGTTTAGAAATTCCTCAGTCTCCGGATTTTGTCACAGAATCCTGAAGGGGCTAAGTTTTTAACTAGCACTTTGTGGTTGGGTTGAAGTAGGGTCATAAGACCAGAGGGGGCACCCACTTCAATCTCCAAATATAAGGCTGCTATGCTTACCAGGTCCTTGTACATCATTGATGTGCAAGGTATAAGGTGGTGGTGGGAGGGATTGGAAGCTCTAATCAACCATGTGTCTTCAAAAGCACTAACTTCTGAAATGACAATTTTCCCTATAACATCCACTATGCTATTTAATAAAATTTTGGTGTAGAGTTCAATAAGAAAATGCATTTTTCTGATGAGTGAATGAACACATTAATAAATAAATAAATGAATGAGCAGGCAGGCTACATGAACATAAGGATTTCCCACATCTGTCAGACTCAACTGGTAGTGAAGCCAGCATTACTTATAAGAGAGGATGGCAATACATACATACATGCATACACATACATACATACACACAGCATACATACATTCACATACACATATACATACATAGAGCATATCTTTAACCCTGCAGCTCAACAGGAATTGGCATGTAGAGTCAGCACATTTTGAAATTCCAGACACACTCTAATGCTCCCATCAATTCCTGATGTTTACAAGCACAATTAGTAAATTGCTCTAACCAGAAATGAGTAAATACTCGTCACTCAAAGTGCCACTTTGAATTTGCTGGTATGGTAACACTTATGCAATGGGAACTGCTTTTACATGCAGAGAAAGAGCAAAGGGTTGAGTTTGGTTAAAGAAAATTTGAAGACCATCTGACGTGCGCCCTGAATCTGTGTTGTGACCCCCTTTACAAGCCAAAGGCACAGTGCAAAAGGAGCTGAGCATCACCCTGAGTTCTTGGAGTGAGCCTCAAAGCGTCACTGCATCTGCTCACCTGGGAAGCTACTGCACCCTAAGTGGGCTCCTACAGGTCTCCCTTCCATGCCATTCTCATAATCATCTCGGAGAAGGATTTTTATCTCCAGTGGCATTCTGCTAAAATAAAGTAGGAAGCCCCCAGGCAGATCTCCTCTGGGGCAACAAGAGTGTTGTAAAGTCATCGTAACTACAGAGATTCCGTTTTAAACTTTTCAGGGAGATATTTCAAACAGATATCACTAGAAATTTTACAAAAAATAACATGAGATGTAACACTACACTGTCCCGAACCTTTTAGCCATTAGTGATGGTCAAATGATCAGAAATATAAACCACCCAGATTGAAGGACTAGAGCAATCCCTGAGGGCACCCCTAATTAACCCAATGATTCTCATAATCTTTCCCCTGCAGAATCATGCCCAGGAAGCTTGGTGGGAATAGATTTTTTCTGACTGCCGAGCAGGATGTTGGAATTCATATGCTGTGAGCCCACACTGATTTGACAACTCATAAATTTGAGAGAACACAACTACGAGGCAGGACTGACCTCCTAAGATCCATGAAGTCAAGAATGGGAAGAAACAACAAACCGAGATAGATGTCTTAGCTCCTTTCTGGAAAATGGCAGGATTTTATCCCATCAATCAGATATTAAAAGGTGGCCTGGGTCATCCTAAGAGCATGGGGTTCAGTCCTCCACCCCTTCCCAAGAACCTCAAGATGTACATCGAAAAAAAACACTGCAAATCCTACATTATTAACAATTAAATGAGTGAAAAGTCATTAAAGACACCAGTATTAGGCCTTAAGCCATGCGAAATGCCAAGTCAGCAGGGGCCCTGGGACATGTGTTGGTGTGCTAACCAGGACCAAAGGGCTGAGTCCTCAGAATCTGGAAGCCAGGAAGTGGAGGCCTCTTGGTGACTCCTGGGGACACCCTCTCCATAGCTAGAGTCAACCTGGGTGTGCTGAGGCAGCCTCGGTGCAAGTCAATCTATGTGCTGCTCCATTTAAATTTGGCCTTCTAAAGAATGACCAATTTATGAAAAAGTCAGCATAGGGGACACGAGGGCTTGCGTATTTGCCAAGTAGCACCTCTTAGGAGTCCTCACCTTCCACAGGTCGGCCACTCTGCTGTGTCCGGGCGCCCTAGTACAGTGAAGGAAGAGGGGGAAGTCCTCATGGAACCTCCTGGCTGGCCAGTCTCCCATAGACTCACGGGTGCCTGTGCACATGCTCATACACACACCCTCCACACACATACACACATACAGCGCACACACACACATGCACATAGCCCCTCCCTCTCTCTTCTGTGCACATTGAGCCCTGGCCAAGTTGGCAATGCTGAGCTGGGGTCCTTGAGGCTGTACACAGAGCTGCAGCCCCCAGGAAGGCCTCGAGTAAGGCAGCCCTTCCAGGCAGGCGCCTGGGTGCAGAGGATGCCACAGCAGGGGCTGCACGCTCAGGGGCTCACATTCCAGGGGCCCTGCCTAAGCAGCTCAGTAGCCTCTGCCCCCTCAGATCCATGTCAACCTTTCTCCTTCCAGGAGGACGGCCCTGCAGGTGCATCTACTGGGCCTCTTTCCGCCCACCTTGTCTTCTGTAGAGTTCAGCTGACAAGGAGGCAGAGTAGAGTCAGGAAGGGAGCAAGCACTGTCTGTCCCCGCCCTGCTAGGTATGCTGGACAATGATGATGACCATGTTCTCCCCAAGGCCACAGCTGTCACTGGGGTCGTTCCACCAGTAACAGGTCCTCGAGTCCCAGGAACCACCTCTCCCATAGTGTGGTGGCAACCTCCCTACTGGAGCCCTCCAGCCCCGCCCACACTTTACAGTTGCCCCGGGCAATGGTCCTCTCTGCTTCCCACCAGCCGAGCTGATTCAGAATCTATGCTTGAGAAGTCGAGGTTCACACAGACCCCCAAGCATGCCACCTGGAATCACAAGGGTAAGGGGGAAGGCGGCAAGTTCCTACCCGAGGGCCTGGCTTTCCAGGTAGACCATCTTCCCCTCTTCCTCCTGGCTCTCCCTGCAAGGAACACAAAGCAAAGTTAGCAGGCATGGGCCAGGCTCGGGTCGGACACTCAGCACCGTTTCCAGAGCAGAAAGGAGACGAACACCTGCACTCAGAGGCCGTTCTGGGTTCCTTTAACTTGGAGACTGTCTGCGCCCAGTGATCTTACCCACCCCCAGATTCTGCATTCTGCAGCTCCCGTTCTTATTTATAAAATATGATCCAGCAGATGGCCGTAACAGTTATATTGCTGGACTCCCACATGGTTGACCATGGTTTGAGTCCTGGACCTGGTGCCTTAAGACTGAGTCTCAAGCCAGGTGCTTGTGTGTGTGTGTGTGTGTGTGTGCGCGCACGTGCGCGTGCCCAAAATCTGGAGAGGTGAATGGAGAAGAAGGGATTGCAATGTGGCCATCCCCACTGAGGAGTGATTTCTCACTTTATGTCTCCTTTTCTCTGTCTCTCCAGTGAGACCATATGCCCTATAGCAAAAATCTCTTTTAAAAAAATATGTATGTATGTTACATATATACTATATATACTTTCTATGTACTGTGTATATACACATACATATATATACTTTCTATGCATATATCCCCAAGGCCACAGCTGTCACTGGGGTCGTTCCCCCAGTAACAGGTCTCCTCGAGTCCCAGGAACCACCTCTCCCATAGTGTGGTGGCAACCTCCCTACTGGAGCCCTCCAGCCCCGCCCACACTTTACAGTTGCCCCGGGCAATGGTCCTCTCTGCTTCCCACCAGCCGAGCTGATTCAGAATCTATGCTTGAGAAGTCGAGGTTCACACAGACCCCCAAGCATGCCACCTGGAATCACAAGGGTAAGGGGGAAGGCGGCAAGTTCCTACCCGAGGGCCTGGCTTTCCAGGTAGACCATCTTCCCCTCTTCCTCCTGGCTCTCCCTGCAAGGAACACAAAGCAAAGTTAGCAGGCATGGGCCAGGCTCGGGTCGGACACTCAGCACCGTTTCCAGAGCAGAAAGGAGACGAACACCTGCACTCAGAGGCCGTTCTGGGTTCCTTTAACTTGGAGACTGTCTGCGCCCAGTGATCTTACCCACCCCCAGATTCTGCATTCTGCAGCTCCCGTTCTTATTTATAAAATATGATCCAGCAGATGGCCGTAACAGTTATATTGCTGGACTCCCACATGGTTGACCATGGTTTGAGTCCTGGACCTGGTGCCTTAAGACTGAGTCTCAAGCCAGGTGCTTGTGTGTGTGTGTGTGTGTGTGTGCGCGCACGTGCGCGTGCCCAAAATCTGGAGAGGTGAATGGAGAAGAAGGGATTGCAATGTGGCCATCCCCACTGAGGAGTGATTTCTCACTTTATGTCTCCTTTTCTCTGTCTCTCCAGTGAGACCATATGCCCTATAGCAAAAATCTCTTTTAAAAAAATATGTATGTATGTTACATATATACTATATATACTTTCTATGTACTGTGTATATACACATACATATATATACTTTCTATGCATATATATTATATATATACACACGCAAATTGAGAAGAAATGACACTCTTTACTTCTTTTCTTTTTCTGTTTTTCTTTTCTCTTGTATTGTCCATGACAGAGCACACTCAGGAAAGTCTCCGTGTGTGAACCTGGAACCTCCTCACGTGGGGTAGCCTGGCAGAGCCAGGTGTTTCACGGCTGCACAACTACCTGGCCCTCGTGCTCTCTCCTTACTGAGAGACTGAGTCAGGGAGGCCATGTGAGTGCTTTTGAGAATACTCAGCACCTGCTTTGCCATCACCCTTTGCTTTGAAAGATATGGGAGAAGGATGGAGAATATTTCCATAAAATACCCATAAAATTGAATTAGATCTATACTTAGTCTGTATTTTGTCATGAAAAAGCTGAGTCTCTAAGTCTGCTTATTGCAAAGGACTAGGAATTTGCCCATCACACTTAAGAGCTGCCTTTAGCAGTGGCTTTCAAGGACTGTTGATGGGCATACTTGAGCCAAAGTATGTTCGCTAGGAAAGAATATTCATTCATTGGCATAATTGTCCACTTGGAATATTTAAACTATAAATTGCTTCCCAACTTTATGACAATTTAGCTCCTGAATCTTACCATAAAACCTAACCATAGCCCACTAGAATATATAAAACTGAAGTCCCTTATTATGTTAATAAGGACATCTGAAAGTTCCTCACCAGAGAAATACGTACCTACTCGTAACTGATTAGCTTCAAAGCCTAAGGCTGTGAGTTCTTTACCAGTTATCGCAGTAGAAATAAAAAGCTCCCCACCAGCCCTAGAAACCTAGATATTTCAGCAGCACCTGGACCCACACCCAGGCAATCAGCCTCCTTTAGAATCCACCCACAACCAAGAGGCTCTGGCTTCTGTGCTGTGGGTCCCCAGTCTGCCACTCCAGCCCTGAGGGTACAGACCTTGTGTCCTGGCAGGCCTGGTGGTCCATCCATGCCATCCTTTCCAGGTGATCCCTGGGATAAGAGGGAAAATGTAAAATAAAAATAAAGGACATATTGAGGAAAGCATTGTGTTGAGCTGTTTCACGCCAGGAGCTGATCTTGCCACCAGAAACTGGGAGGCACGGCCTCCCCTCCCGTCTGTTGTGCCGCCTCTATTCAGAGTGACCGCAGGGTCTACAGGACCTCGTTTTCCTTGGACACGCTGCGATGACTGAAGGCAGGAACACCCTCCGGTCAGCGTCCTGCTTCAGCATCTCGGACAGGTGTGGCGATGAGGTGGCAGGGCAGCCTGTGGAACCCTCCTCTGCCATTGGCACCCTCAGCTTCTAAGGGGCCCCTGGAGTCAGCACGGACAGCGCCACCCGCATTTCTCTGCCTGCCGAGCCCTATGCTCACGTCCTCCTGCCCGCCTGACACTCCCTTCTTCCCTTCAGAAAGCAGAGGCGTGGGTCGTCCACCTGCCTCCGTTTCTTTTTCTTTTTTTTTTTTTTAGAGGTTTTTGCTATAGGGTGCGTGCACTCGCCAGACAGAGAGAGAGAGACAGAAAGTGAGAAATCCCCCCCAGGGGGGATGGTCACGCCGCAATCCCTTCTCCATTCTCCTCTTAGGATCTTGGGCACGCATGCACATGCGCCTGGCGTGAGTTTTAAGCCACCAGGTCTGGGACGCGAACCGTGGTCAACTACGTGGGAGTCCAGTGACATAGCCATTACGCTAACTGCTGGTCCCGCGCCTACCTTCCATTTCTAAGGGCGACACTGAGCAGGCCCCGTGGTGCTTTCCCAACACAGGGTGCTCCTCCCTCTCTCCCTTGCCAGGTGGCAGGGCGGAGGCCACTGCAGTGCTGTGTGGGTGAGGAGGACAAGGCCGCGAAGGCCGGATGACTGACTCAAGGTCAGAGCCAGGAACGGAGACCCTGAGGCTGAAACCCAGGCCTCCTGCTCATCTCCAGCCTCATCCTCTAACCAAGATGCTCCTCGCCTCTGCTTCCTCTGCACCTCACACGGCGTGTCAGATGTCGCCTGTCCCCACAGAACACCACCCCACTCTGGCTCCAGGGGCCATCAGTGATGCTCACTATAATCCTGGTGTTCTTCTGCCCACAAAACTCACTGCCTCCTTTTTTATATTTTTTGTATTTGCCAGAGGGGATGTACACTTGAGAGAGAGAGAGAGGAGAGGGAGAAAGAGAGAGAGAGAGGAGAAAAAGAGAGAGACAGAAGAGGAGAGGGAGAAAGAGAGAGAGAGAAGGGGAGAGGGAGAAAGAGAGAGAGGAGGAAGAGATGGAGAAAGAGAGAAGAGGAGGAGAGAAAGAGAAAAAGAGAGAGAGAGAGGAGGAAGAGATGGAGAAAGAAGAGGAGGAGAGAAAGAGAGAAAGAGAGAGAGAGAGAAGAGGAGAGGGAGAAAAAGAGAGAGGAGGAGGAGAGGGAGGAAGAGAGAGGAGGAGGAGAGGGGGAAAGCACCCCAGGGGGCACGGCCGTATCACAACGCCCTCTCCGCCTCTCCAGCCTGTCAGAGCAACTTCAGGCACGCACACACGTGTGCCCAGCATGCTCGCCAGCCACGGGGTCTGGGACTCAGGCCACGCAGTGGCTGTGATCTAGTTCCCTCAACCACGAGGCCACGCCACTGCACACCCAATTTCAGACTCGTCGCCCTGCGTCCCTGGCCTGAGCCAGGAGCTCTGAAAGGAGGGCCCCAGCTGCCCAGAGCAGATGTCCCGAAGCAAGGCCTCTGGAAGGGAGCGGGTTGTTTGCTCTTGCCCAAGAGCAAGCCCTGAAGCCAGGAGCCGCACTTCCAAGCAGCAGGGCCATGGCTTAGTCTTGAAAACCCTGAATGCCTTCGTGTTCTCTGTCTGTGACACGCGCCCCTCTTTGCAATGTTTGCACCGATGCACGTTCTGACGAGCCGCGGGGGCTGACGAGATTGTGAATGCGCCTGAGTCCTCAGATGGCCCTGAAATGTCTGCTGGTGACACTGCAGCTGACCGTGCAGGGGGTGCATGTTAGGGACACTGTTCACTGGCTGTCTTTTCTGACTGGCACCTGTCCACCCGAGTGCTCAACACAGCACTGAATTCTTGCCCATCAACCATGTGCCCTCACATCTGTGGTCTCTGGGCCCTGAGTGCCCACACATTTTTGGTCCCCAGGGCCCCCATGTGCCTGCTCATCTGTGGTCCCCAGGGCTCCATGCACCTGCACACCTTTAGTCCCTGGGGCCCCCATGCACCGGCACACCTGTGGTCCCTGGGAGCATGGGTCCGTGGTCCGTGGAGAAGGGCAGAGAGCCGTGGCGTGCTACACTCCCTGCTCTGCCTTCGCCTCACCGGCTCTGTTGGCAAGTGCTCCATCAGTGCTGGGCGCCATGTGGGCTGCAGCCCCTCGAGGTCTTCCCCACCCAGAGCCCACGAGTATAAACGTGCAGAGAAGGGGAGTGCATGCCTGTCCAGTGCTTGGTCACGTGAGGCCAGAGTACTCTCAGTCACACCCACTTTCCACCCTGAAAGCCACATGCCATTGGGACAAGGCAACGCTCCGGCTTTCACTGCGCACCTCCTCTGTCGGGGAGACCTTAAAGCCTTCCAAGCTCCACTGCAGGTCTTACAAGAGTTTGCAAGGCCCCGACACCTCAGGGTCTCCTCAGCACGCACATGAGGGGGAGCAGGATGAAGGGAGGGCCTGCCACACCAGTGCCATTCCTCGGCATCTGCTGCTTCTGCTGCTCTCCGGGCATCCTTCAAGGCTTTCGGATGTATCACTGGGTAGCAAGAGCACCCCCAAGGGGCTTGGGGGAGACGGCCTGGGAGAGCAACCACACCCACACTCCAGCCGGCCTCGTGGGGCATGTGCGAGCAGACCGAGCACGAGGAGGCCTGCTCGGTGGGACGGTCGGGGTGACCAAGGAGGTCTCGGCTTGGGAACGAGCCCGGCAGCTGTGAGGACCTGCCCTTCCCAGCATGGAGCAGCGGGGAGGGGTAAGTGGGAAGGCACCGTGAAACTCACCACAGGCCCTGGAGCCCCGGGTTTCCCAGGGAAGCCGATCTCTCCAGGTAAACCCTGAAAAGGAGCACATGGACGCTGTTAGTCTGACCACATGAGCTCACGCCCTTGACCCAAGTCCTTCCTTGCCAACGCCCAGGCTTCGGCTCAGACCAGGGCACCTGGGGAGCCCACTGTCCTCAGCGCCAGCCACCGTGACGTGAATCTTCCCAGCTCTCATGTGAGCAAGTCCACGGCTCCCCTGGCCTGCAGTCAGGCTGCCATCACTGTCATGCCACCCAACAAGACAGGGCACTCCCTCTGCCGGTCACAGCCCTCCCCCAATGGGCAATGTGTCTTCATGCCTCATCCCTCCCCTGCTTCAGGGACGCTCTGCCCCTGAAGGGAAAAAATGCAGACGAGTGGCCCTGGGCCTCTGTTCTGCCTCGAAGCCAAACCACCGACACTAAAAGGCTGACGGGCCTCCTGCACCCCATCGTAGACGCAGCCGGCAGAAGGTCCACAACCCGTGAAGCCTCTGATCTGGGGCTCCCGGGCCTGGGCTTTGTGAAGGTGGAGCCCCCGTTCGTGCCTCACTGGGCGTGACCAGGTGAGAGGCAGCCGTCTGTGCACGAGGAGTCCCTGACTCCCGGCGGCCGTGAGCCACCACCCACCACCTGCTGAGAAACGCAGACCCAGTCTTACCGGGGGGCCTCCTGGTCCGGGGGGGCCGGGGACACCAGGCAGTCCTGCAGGGCCCTGTGAAGGAGAGATGAGGTGGTTACGAGGGCGCCAGGCTGCCTCGTGGAGAGAGGCGGGTGGGATGTGAGGACACATGGGGCTTTGGCCTGGCACGCGGAGTGCTGACCTCGAACGGAAAGGAGCAGATGTGGAGAGAGGCGGGTGGGATGTGAGGGCACATGGGGCTTTGGCCTGGCACGGAGTGCTGACCTCGAACGGAAAGGAGCAGACGGGCAGGAAAACGTCTGCCACAAACCGCGAAGTGCTCAGTGACTCGTGTGGGGGCAGGCATGTGATGGCGTGACAGTGCCGGCTCTGCTCTTCTGCGGGCACTAACCCAGACGCTCATGGCGAGCACACGTGTGTGCATGTGTCAGCTCCGCTCTTCTGCGGGCACTAACCCCGACGCTCACGGCGAGCACCCCGGTGTGCGTG